CCAGCAGCGGACACAGGGAAAACTTCTAGCAGCTTCTCACAGAAGCCACCCCTGTAGCCCCCCCACTACCAAGACCTTGCCACAGAAACCCAATACACTCATCTAAGTGAATCCCCAGTTGCATGAGATGCATTTATTTATACCTACCTACCTCCACCATAAGGTGGAGATAAGCCATTTCTCTCTGATTTTTTTGAAGACAGCCCTACAGGTTTGAGAAATAAAGATAGGTAAAAGAGCAGTGCGCTTCCCCAGAATAGTGCCCACACAGCTGACACTTCTCTGCCATTCATACAGGTGGTTGTTATGGCAGGACTGTTCCAACACTATTGTCTACAAGAGGGAGTCTTACTGTATTTAAAACGCCTAATGCATGCAAGCAATAGTTTGTTGGGCTCCTTATGTAGTCAGTGGAGCCTAATGGCACCCATAGAGTAGTGGTGAAGATCCCTGTCAGTGACCAAGAGTAAATAGATGATTGCTTGTCAGTTGCCAAGAGTGGAATCCATGTGTACAGTAGCTTGAAGTAAGAATAATTGCAGTTTCTGTGGTTATAACGGATGTCTACGTTGTCTGTGTAGATTCTACAACTTGCCTGCCTTCCCTGCTTCTGTAGAGTTTTCTTTTGAAGTCTTGTGTGGTGAAAATAGTGAACAATGATTGAGTCTACTCTGTCCTTCATGTCCTAGTGCAAGGATGCAGAGGAAGTGAAGATAAATAGGCCACATGAGTACTGGCACAACAAAAACAAAATTTTCAAACAAAACCTCCTAATTACAATAAGTCAGAAAAAACCCCTCTATTTCCACATGTTCAAGGGAATAGGAAGGTAGTATCAAATGTCTCTTTCTGTATTTGAGAAGTCCTTCTGGAAAAGCTGAACTTTTCAAATGCCAAATTATACTGTTAATATTATTATGAAGGTTCTGAAAATACTAAATTGAGTACTACTGATGCATGTAATGCTATCAAATAAATGTGCACATTATGTAGGCAGTAATGTGGTAAGAGCTGTCTACTAACGTTTTTCTACTATTTTTTTTATCTTTAAGAATGAAACCAAGAAAAATTAAAGAAGATGATGCTCCACGAACGATAGCTTGTCCTCACAAAGTAAGTGAAGTGCTCAGCTTCTGAGTAGGTAGTAATTTGTAGACCAGAATTTTGCGTTGATGTTTTCTCTTGAGAGTGAATAACTCCAATATCTTACTGTTAATAGACTACACTCAGTTAACTGTATTTCAGTTATCGTTCTTTAGAGGCTTCCTTAAAAACCTTTCACTGAGTAATATATTATTCCCATTCCTTGTCTTAAGGTTAGTGCATCCCTAATCTTCTGGTAGCCATGATGCACAGTCCCTAACATGCTGGTTTTACTGTTGTGATTTCCTGCCACCCAAGATTACATACTTGAAAGAATGTTCTGAAAGCTGTTCAAAGTACGTTCCTAAGATCTATATATCCTCTGCTTGGAAACTGTCAGATTTAGAGTCTAGATCAGGAATCAGCAATTTATGGTGCAAATGCCAAAGTCAGCATTTTTGGAAGACTTTGAATTACACATTCCACAGAGCTGGAAGGTGCATCATCTTGAAAGAGAGAGGCAGCTTGGAAATACGATTCTGATCCCCTGGTAACGGGGAAGCCTCTGTCTTGAATAAATGTTGCCAGTCACCTAGATTGGTAGCATATAGCTTTACTGCATTATCCAGCTTTTGTAGAGCTTCTGTTAGCTGACTTAGTCTGTAATGAAAAAAGACAAAAACAGTCTTGCTGACTTCTGGTCTAGATAAGTGTGAGCCTCAGCAAATAATCAGGGCAGATAGCTAATGGTACACATTAGAGAGCATGAAGAGAAGGCTTCTTTCGGACAGCCACAGTCTAAGGAATTTGCTGGAATCCTCTCTGTGCTTACATTGATTTCTAATTCTTCATGTTCTACAAGTATTGTATTCTGTTATAGTATAGCATGTGGAGATACAGGAACAGTTACTCCTTATAATACTGAGGAATGCTGCCTTCATTTCTTTGATTTACTTTTTCATAGCCTCAACTTCATCAAATGGGGAAAAAAAGAGTATTCTGTCCTCCTGTTTTCTCTTGTCTAGTGTTTCTAGGTGTTGTGCATTTATGACTTAAGTTTAAAAAAGAAAAATATTGTAGAAGATGTAGCTGCTTGTAGAGGCAAGCATGGGCTTTGAAATAGATGCAAAAAAAGTTGATGGCATGTTTATTTTGGTACTGCCTTGCCCCATCCAGTTCTGTTAACGTGTAATGAATGGTGGCACATTACTTCTTAAATTGGCCAAAGAGATTCTAATGCCTGAAGAGAAGTCTTCTTGAAAGTGGCATTTCCCCCCCCCTTTTTTTTTTAAGAAATAAGGCATGTTTAAATGTGGTTATTAGTTTTGGCGATGGGGGAGGAGGAATCCAAAGAGAAGGCCTGCAGAACTTAAGACTAGCAATTGATTGTTCTTTTAGATCCTGTTGAATTTTATGCCTCTTAACACAGTGATGCTGGTAGACTAGGTTGACATAAGTTTAAACAGCATTACTTGGAGTACAGATAGAATTTACAGTTAATGGGATTTAATGAGGGATTTTGAACGTTGAGGAAGACATTTATAAAATATATGATAGATTTCTATTGATTGTCACTGAAAGGTGAAAAAAGGTCTGGAAAGATTGAGTAAAGACAGCCCCAGGTCGCTTGCTGGCTTAAGTGCACTCTCAAATCAAAAAGTAGTATTCCTGTGGTGATGCAGCATGAACTCCAGATTAAGACTTCTCATGCTGTACCTGAGTTAATGTGAGTATCTTTTTCTTTTAGGTTGAGTTGGCACTATCTCAGAGATTCTCCTGCCTTATTCAGTGGCCCAGTATCACTTTATAGGTTTAAACTGTAGAAGCAGTGGCATTCTCTTTACATCTCAAGGTGGTAGCGATCAGTCTGCTGCTGCCTGTTTGGACAAGGTAGTTTCTGTAAGCTGTTATGTGCTGGTAGCCCTCTTGCTCCATTTCTTTTGAGGAATGAGAAAGAAGAGGACAGAATGTTGGGAGATGGAGTGGTACACATACAAATTTGGTACTAGAGAGTAATCTGTGTTACATTAGAGAATATATAATACATTATAATACTGTAGTGCTCAGAATATAGCACATTGAAGAATATAGCATAGGTATCCATGAACTATCATTCTGTCTTTATGTTTGTTTTTTTCCCCGTGAAACTGTAAGTGATTTTGTTTGGTTTATTCATTTGCTTCTATCAGAGCGGCATCTTCTCCATGAGACTGCCCTAATTATTCATTTGACTACATGTGGTTCATAATACTAAATGAGGAGAGGGTTTGGGGATTTTTTTGTTTGGGGTTGGGTTTTTTTTTCCCCCAGTTCTTCAAATTATGAGTTTTCTTGGTATTGCTTTTTTAAAATAAATGTAAGGCTTCTCCTTTTCACAGCCAACTTCTAAGAAAATATTTGGGATATAAAGGCATTTAGAATGTTTGTACTGTAGCAGATAAGACCACCTTTATCAGAACTAGCTTATCTACTAACTGAGTTTCACTGTTCTTTTTAAGGGCTGCACAAAGATGTTCAGGGACAACTCTGCCATGAGGAAGCATCTGCACACTCATGGCCCTCGAGTACACGTATGTGCAGAATGTGGCAAGGCCTTTGTGGAGAGCTCAAAACTAAAGCGACATCAGCTAGTTCATACCGGAGAGAAGCCCTTTCAGGTATTGTTAACCTCCAGACACAAATACCACAATTTATTTGGTAAATGTGTAGACAGTAACTGTAACCTAGCTTCTATATGATTTCAAGGGTACTATGTGCTCTTCTAAAATTAGATGAGGCACTGAATGATAATCTTAAAAATTGGAAGTCCCCTTCAGCTAAGTAGCTGTCAATTAACTCTGTGGGCTTTTGCTAGAAATCACCAAATTGTATGTACATGGGAGACGCTTTCCAAAAGGTAACGTAGAGTTACCCACTTGAAAAATGAAGTCTGCAGTTACTACTGAATGAGGAAAATGTCTCATTCTTCTCAGCTTTTCGGCTTAGCACTTGTGGACAACTGAGACGTGGGGCTGTTGGCTCAGTTGACTCATGATACTGATTTTCAATAGCAGTATTAGTCAGTTTTCAGCAAAATGGTGGTAGTCACTGAATCTCTTTCCATTCATACCGAGTCACGTGAGCTTCTGCCACCAGAGGTCCCCTGCCTACTTCATATGATACTCCTTACAAATCTACTTTACAGGTATTCATAGTCTTGAGCATATCTGTGTTCTCCAGTACATGTTTAAGATATGTATTTTTGGTTGATTTTTGCCTTTTTGTATTCTGAGCCCATTTTAAAAGTAAAGCTGGTAAAGTGAGCAAACCTTTACAAATTATCACGAAAAATGGGAAATTCTGATGTGAAACACTGTTTCTGTTTTCTAGTACAGCATAGCAAAATATGATTTCATATGCAGAGAAAGTGTTCTTAGTGAAAGAATCTGCTTGCAAGCTGAAAGTTATTCCCCTCTTTGAAAATAGATATACTACTGTGGTAAAACAATTCGAAGTATTCTTTTTTTTTTTTTTTTTTTTAAAAAAA